GCAGGCCGAACCGCTTCTTCATGGTGACCCTCTGCCGCGACCACTTGTCGTCGGGCGAGAAGCGAGCCGGGTGCGCCGACTTGGTGACTTGCCCGTGGGCCACCTTCTTCAGGGTGTACAGGCGGTTGCCGCCGGCGTCGAGGGTGTACATGAGATGCATTTTCTTTGTTTTTGGCGAATTGGTGACTTTGTTTGCTAAAGAAGACAAACCGACGAGCTATATGGCCGAATGCTTGAGCAAAAAAAAAAAAATAGTTGGGATAGTGTGGCAGTATGGAGCGCTAGCGGGCTGGATGGGGGTGGCACGTTTGCAGGGGGGGAGAAAATTCGACCAGGGCCATCACGTGCACTTATCGATAAGAGTTTTCGGCCATTATGGGAAATTACTGGTTTTGAGCGGCATTGTTCAGTCAAGAGACGGGCACAATTATAACGTAGCAATATAAACTGGATTTTATTCATAAAAGTATTACAAAATGAGCACGGACATTGGCGTTGCCCGCCAGAAAGTAATGTACTTGCTGTGTCGTACATATCCAGTGAGTGAGCGTATAGGGCTAGACTCGCAACTGAGCTTGAAGAGCAGACTACAACGTCATCATCAACCTGCAACCCTGATCCAACAAGGTCAATGATTTCCAGAAAACGAAAACACTACGAGGAAGCTTCCATGCCTTGCTTCAGTCACCAATTCACTCGATTTCGCCCACGCGAGCAGCCTTGTCGCCCAGCCAGTCCTCGCGCTCATAGAATCGAAAGACCAAGTCATAGTCTTCAAAGTCGTGCACGATGCGATCCACACGCCGGTAGCCGCGGACGGGGTCGACGAGGCGCTGCATGGAGAGGCTCTTGAATGTGCCGTCGCCCATGCCGTAAGGATTGGCGCCGCGGCCCTTAGCCTCGAACAGCGTGACGCTGAATCGGCCGGGGCGGAAGATGTTGACCACGTGCTCGATAATCTCCGCCGTGGTGCGACCTTTTTGCCCCCCGGGCACGTTGGTCTCAAAGGATGCAAAGGAGAAGCCTGGCTCGGGCGTAACGTGCACGGTGAAGTAGTGAGTTGCTCCAGCCGTGTCGTCCTCGGCGGATGGCGGAGCGGGAACCACGCCATTGGCAGAGAATCCGCAGGGGCTGAAGAGATACGAGTCCACACGGGCATCGGGGTAGACAGACGTGGGATAAACGTCGTTGAGTCCGCAGCTTACTGAGACGACTGAGCCAAGAGCGTGGCCCTCGGTTGTGAGCTCCTCAGTGACTTGGGCCTTGGCAGCAGTCTCGAAATCTCCCTCGTCGAAGTGCCCAAATACATCAATTTCCTCGGGGGTAGCGGCAGTAAGACAGTCGATGCTATCCTGTGCCTTTTTGCGTGCATTTTTCGCCTCAGCAGCAAGCTTATCACTCGCGACCGCACTCGCGTGTGACAAGAAAAACTGCTTGGCGTTTTCGGGGTCAAGATCGGTCATGAGAATCTCCAATGTCTCGTCATTCTGGCTATAGGAACCACCAGCAGAGCTCCCGCCATTGGAAGAGATGGTCATGGCAGGGGTTGGCTGGCAATTGATCTCCGAGTCCGGTGTCAGGGGAGGAGTAAGCGTTTGATTGGGCGAAGTGATGTAGAGGTACCAGTGATCCCCATTCATCTTGCCCACCATATAGGCGCTGCCTCCTCCCTCGAGCGTGTCATCCAGATACTTGACTTCTTGCTTCCAGCTCCGGTGAGGGCCTTTCTGCTGGTCGGGGAACAAGAAGTTCTTGCGACTGTAGAACACACGGTAGGGCGTGGCCGCGGCCCGAACGTCGTTGACCGAGTTGGCATTGTGGAAGGGGAACCCGGCATTGACGGCGGCAATGTGAAGCAGACGCTGGAGGCCAAGAAGAAGGGTGGTGGTTCCGCATGTCTTGAGGATAAGCTTGTGGGGGAAGACAAACATGCTGGATTCGGAGAGCAAATAGGCATCGACGTCATCGGACTCGAGCACAGACAGAATCTTGCAATTGACCATGTCCAACATACCAACCCAAGTGTCCGCAGGGACGCTCTTCAAGCCATTGGGTGCAGCAGAGCTGGGCAGAGCTGTAGGCCCAGAGGCAAACCACACCTCCAGCAGCTTCTCGGGCCCTTCAAAGGCATTGCTGGAATCCAGATCCGCAGCAACATCGTGATTGATGGTCAAATGCGGCGTAGCCGAGGACGGAGAGAATGTATAGTTCTTGGGCACCGAAAGGTTGACCATAATTAACGTCTCACTCTGGGAGAAGTGAGAAGCGCACCAAGCTAAGCAATGATGAGGGGGATCTGGGGGGTGAGGTTCGGTCCCTGTTTAAACCCGGGTTGAGGATTGGACAATGGCGAGTCTGACGAATGCCTCTTATTTTCTTCTTCTTTTTTTTAAAAAAAATCAATTTGCTATTGTCTTTGCCCGCTAGGCAGAGTCCGCGGAGCACTAGCTGCCGCTCAAACAGACCTTGCGGTGTCTGTCTGAGAGAGTAGGCCCACAGGAGGTGGTTGTTCCCAAGATGCTGGCGTAGCCAGCAGCAATAAGACGTATGGAAGAGTCGCTAACGTCTCTAAAAGGACGTTAAGGGGGTCGGAAGCGGAGGGAGTGGAGAAACAACTTCTGTGACAGAATGTTGGATGATCGAAGGCGTAGTCCGATACCCGTGGGAAAGTACCGGAGCTAGCAGACAGAGGTATCTGCTTGTGCTTTGGAAGGAAGTAGAGGACGAGTTATCGCGGTGGGCTTAAGTCGACTTCATGTAATTTTCTTGGTGTCCTTTGTCTTTGCAAGGGTGCTATCGAGGCCTACGGAGGGAAGACGGTCAGTCAGTCAGTACACACAGGTTGCGGATATCTAGTACGACTTGGCAGGCTGAGTCTTTGCCGGCGTCGTTGTCCTAGTTGTAGTCGTAGGTGGACAGGCTGGCAGAGGACCATAGGGCGAGGGGAGACATACTTGGAAGGTCGAGAGAAGAGGAAGCGCAGTGGATCAGTCGAACGCATAGAACGCGGTTTAAAAAGCGCTTGAGCGAGGGGGAGGGGGCTGATGCTCGCGAGGAATCGGGTCCGCCGCGGAGGCCGGTCAGCGGTGGCTTCCGCAGACGAAAACCGAAAAAAATTTAGGGTTGGGAAAAACCCATAGATGGTGTTGGAATAGTGTCCCGCGGCTCAATGCAATTGAAGAGGCGGAAGTCGAAGAAATTGCTTGGTCGTGTGAGGTGCACAAGGAGAAAAAAGGAAGAAAAGAGGTCGGCGCCTAAGTGGATGCTGTTGGACGAAGACGTGGGTGAGGACGTGGACGTCAAAGTGGATTTCAAAGTGGATGTCTGGACGGGTGAGCGGGCGACCACAGAGTTTTTTTCGTTCGCGTCCTTTTTTTTTTTTTTTTTTGCTTTGCCCTTTTGTGCTCTTATTCCCCTGCGGCCCTCGTTCGCCTGCGTTGCGGACTGGCCATCCTCACATCCTCACATCTCCTCGTACCATCTCCTCAGATCTTGCACTTTGCACCTGCGCCTGCTGCTGCATGCATGCTGGACGTGGCTGTGGCAAAGACCATCATTCTGAGGCCATGGGCATGCATGACTTGATGACGTAGGGCTGGGGCTTTTGCCAGCCAAAATAACCAGAAATCCGTAGCTCCCACAAGGCCGCAGAGTCGAGAGGTCCATTTCATTCATGCTCGTCTTCAGCTAGCCCGCCGGTTCGATGGCATCAACAGAAACGGGCGCTTTCAATGCCGGCGGAGGACTTTGGCAATTTTTGCAAGCCGAGCATGTGCACCATGTTGTTGCACATCGTGTTGGACGCGGTTGCATCTGGACCTGCACCTGGTCTTGGGTGGGTGGGACGGGACTGGAACTGGAGACGGGAACTTGGCTGATGGCTGCCGAAAGGGGCCAACGCCACTCATCGTTGAACCAGAAGACGGAATGACAAAAAATCAGCTCGTCGTTCGCCGTCCACTATCCGCTGTCGCTGTCGACTATTGACTGGGTGCATGGCGGTTGTCGTCGTTCAACATCGCATTGAGATAAGTCTATGCCGCCGCCGCTTTCGCTGGTGTGCCTCTGTCCGTCCATTTATTGTCCTTCCTTCCTCGTCGTCCATGATGCAGAGTGCCGCGTCTTCTGGATTCTTCCCTCGCCATGGTCCAAGGAGGAGCAAAACAAACATCACCACATTGGGGCACAGGAACCTGCCTCTAGGTAGATACCTAGGTACTCTTACCGTTCGTTACTCTGTCTGTGGCTCCGTCCGTCTGTCTCACGACGGCAGAATAGAACGAACACCACTCACTCCGTGACATGAACACGCTTGACTGTCTGCTCAATTGGTCTCAAATTTCTCCTTGACTCATTTTGATCATCGCCTACTCCGTACAGACCACCAAGTGCCCGCACCTGCACTCTCCATGGAGAGGCGGCACAGCCAGCCACTGCACGCCGATTGTCTGGATACATACATCCGTGCATCTCATTTTGTGCACCTGTCCAGATGTCCCCATCCACTACCGTACCTCTAGAACCCTAGATCCGTACTCCGCACACTGGAAAGGAAAGGGTCTATCGTGGCCGACCAACACGGGTGCTGCTTTTTCGCTTATAGACAACTTATCACCAACCAGGTGGGCATTGGGCTCCTCCCCATGCACGTATTGCTACCCAGCCTGCAACTAGTAACTACCTAGTGCCCAGCTTGCCATTGCCCAGCTTGCCATTGCCCAATGATGAGCTACAAGCTACTCCGTACCTCGGTGTACATTCGGCGCCTGCATGTCCTCGACTCTTCTGGCTCTTTTCTTCCCGTCGAGGGGTCGCCTCTCTTGCTGGGAAACTTCAGTGTTGGCTTCAGGGCCTTATTCTATATGACAACACACGTCCCCGCCACGGGATGGCGGATGCGCGTTTTTGTGTTGGCCCGGTTTGCAGATCCGGAGGCTGAGGGCCTTGGTGGAAATTCAGACATGATTCGGTCCACATGAATGAAGCGCGAGGCTCCTTTCTCAAGCCTGGTTTAAGATTTTGGCCGTCAGCGATGCCGTAATGTCGTTAAACACGTGCGAGAGCGAGCAGTGCTTGTATTTTTCGACAAGGTTTCCGCTGCTGTTGGTGTCACTGGTGTCGCCTTCATCTGGTGCAGTGGAGGATATGTCGTGTCCGTTGATACGTGTGCCGACTGGATATTGTGGTCGCCGACCTTCCTCGAGCAAGGCAATAAACTGCGCATCCATCGGTACCGTGCCCAAGAACGGAACCTTGAACTCGTCTGCCATGCTACGGCCACCCCCAGAGCCAAAAATGTCGGTGCATTCCGAGCAGTGAGGGCAGACGAAGCCGCTCATATTCTCAACCACACCCAGCACTCGAATGCCCGTTTTGAAACAAAAGTTGAGCTCTTTGCGGACATCGGACGTAGAGACTGCTTGGGGCGTGGTTACCACGACCGCACCCGCAACCTGCTCGGGAACAGCCTCGCTCTGCAGTGTTTCCGCAAGAGAGATGTGCTCGTCGCTGGTGCCTGGCGGCGTGTCAATAAGCAAATAGTCGGTATCGTCCCAGAGAACATCGCGGATGAACTGCCGAATCATGGCCGTCTTCTTGGGGCCTCTCCAGACAACGGCATCACCTCGCTGCGGGAGCAGGAACCCCAAGCTCATGGCGTGCAGGCTGCCGACGCCGGTGCCTGCGTCCTCTCCGTGAACGGGAACCGGGGCCCAGCCGCCCGGGACCTGAGTAACTTTGGACTCTTCGATGGACAACATTCGGGGGATAGAAGGCCCAGTCAGATCAACATCGAGGATGCCTACAGAATGGCCAGCCTGGGATAGTGAGAGAGCCAACTGCGTGGTCACGGATGACTTGCCCACCCCACCCTTGCCGGACAGAACCTGGATGCAAGCAAGAGGTTAGTAAAGAAGCCTTGGGAGCGGCGCTGGAACGGGATATAAAACGCATCGATGAGATGCTGCAACACGTCTTACCAGCACGATGTGCTTGACCTTGTCCAGGCCCATGCTGTATCAAACAAAGGTGCAGTGTTTTGCCCTGCAACGATTCCCCACCGATACCTGAGACAAGCGCCGAGGTATGAGCAATATAGTGCAAAGGGAACTTGGGGCCAGGCGCATCAATACTCGTCAAGGCAGATATTCTGGGAGTGATTACAGAGAGAGGTTGCCGGCGAGTCGCCTCTTGGAGGAATGACGCTTTATTGATTAGCAAGCAATGGGGCGGTTTTTTCAGTGTGTGAGCACAGAGCGTTGGAAACCATTTGATGGGAAGTCGCAACCCGCTCCAGCCAACCAGAGCGAGGCCGATGTCCGGAGCTGCCGACATGCGCGGGGAGCCTGCACATGGCACCTGGAGGGACATGGACCCAACACAGGGGCATCAGGCCGTTGACAGCCCAGACATGTGCCCGCCTGGTGCCCCAGCTGCCCCGTTATAGCGAATGCTGTCCCTGCAGATGCCAGGACACGCCCCTAACACTTCGCCTATCTGGTCGACTCTGCTGCTCAGTCCTGTCTCTGCCTGAAACAGCACAATCAATTGATAGATGCATCGGGCCAAGAATGCGGCTCTGCATAAGAAAGGGTGTCTCAGTGCCCGTGGCTCTTTAGTTCTTCACACTTCTGGAGTTGCGTCTAGAAGAACGGAAATAGCTGTTACAGCTGAGAGATTCATGTCAAGTAGGTCTGCGATTACCGCGGTCCGCTTCTCATGGCAACACCTGCATGATGATAGACGTCGATTCACCTGGTCGAATAAGTGGTCTCAATTTGTAAACATACGACCTAAGCATGTCTAACGCTTTAGTCATTCAGCGTTGTCGCTTCATTGAATAGCATCACAATGACGCAACATTGTCGAAACAAAACATTTTTCCCAGTCGCTACCCTCGGCTTGCATGAAAACAATCTTTTGCCGGGCCCAAGTCGCCCTCCAGAAGCTCAGTAATAATAACCGTTCCCAACGCCTTTTATGCTATTGACCGCACTCGGCGGCTCTCGCGTTTCCATGCCGAGTAAGCCGCCTTGGTATACCGCCGTTCCGTGACCTCGCCCGCCCCGAGGCCTCCCGGTCATGGTATTTCGTCCTCTGTTTCAAACCGAACCATTCCCCGTGGGAAAGCAAAAGTCGACCCTCCGCCGTTGTCGCGGCCCAAGAGCTGCCCTTGCGGCATTGGCGCCACTGGTTGTGTGAATCTCACAATCGGGCCACCCTCCACCGTAAAGCCAATGAACTCGGCTTGGATATCGGAACATTTGTCTTCGTGGCTACAATTTTCAATGGTATTCCTACGACGGCCGAGTTAGATGCTCATCCGGCTTCCATGACATGTGGGTTGGGGCACTTACGCTTGGCTAATACGTGGTTCCTGGCCGTCGTCGGATGCACTGCCCGCTGGCCGTCGCAACTTTTTGATTCTCTTTCTTGTACAGTCATGGAATAGGTGCAGAATTCCTGCAATCACGAGAACCGGAGTTCCCAATGCGAGCGCCCAAGGTCTATTTGTAGGTCAGTGAGTAGGTCTGAGGGTTAGGGTTGGGAACAGCGGGTGGTGGATGAAGCAACGTACGGGTGCTGGCGATTTCTGAGGTTATGGCACAAGGCCAAAATGACGCCCGCAATGGCAATCAGTGAACCAACCTGGAGCATGGTCCATGTTGACCAGTACAGGGACATGAGGTCTTCGCCGTCGCAGAACTGCAGCGCCAAAAGGGCGTACGCCTCCATCACAACGACGACGGTAGACACGGCCAAACATCCTAGACAGATGAAGATGTATCTGCGGAGCACTCTTGCTCGTTGGTTTGAATGAGTCCCAAAGGTCTCGACTGCCTTTTGTGCTCTGCGTGATGCCGTGTCAGTATTACTCTGGCGAGCGAACACGTTGCGAGAGTCGGGGGTTGCCCACGCACTTGGAATATACCCATGAACCGAAAAATAAGACAATCAAGTTTGTTATAAACATGGTCCAGTATATTATCCTAAAATTCTGCTTGTCTAGATTCGAAGCAAACTGTGCATAGTCTTGACAGAGTTGCGGATCGACGTCGAATGATCCCGCCATGGCTGACGTTGTGGGATAGTAAACATGTAGGACAGGTAGGTAGTGGCCGAGAAGGCTCGAGACTTGCTGGAAAATGATTCCGCCTTTTAGATGAATCAGTTCAAGGAGGAATATCTGTCAGATGAGAAATTCCGGCGGTGCCGATTTTCTGAGAGAGGGTTGAGATATGGCGGACCGTGGTGGTGGTGTTGATGGCGTGCTGGCTGACATGGCCTCTTTAATAGACGGGTTCTAGTTTCAGGCAACGAGTCGACAAGAGGAAACAGGGTGAAACATAGGCCAGTAAATAAGACTGATAACAGCATTTACGACGCGCAAGCCATCAATGGCACACGGCTGGACTAGACGGTGCCAAGCCTGGGTTCATGTTGGCTCTGCTTGCAAATGCCCAAGAGTGGAACTGGCTGACAGGGGATCGAGTTGATCAACGGTAGTAGGTTCCGCGAATACCGGGACATTTAGTCTAGTAACGACTAGTAGTAGCTTGGTAGATAATTCCAATAAAGATGGAAGCCTCTTGGCCCCCACGAAAGCAGATTTGACACGCCGTCCCCGTATCCCGCCGAATCCGCAGCATTCAGCCAATTCCCGCCACGACCTGGGGGTCAGATGGAAGCCCAGCTCGAGGTCCCAGATGAGGCAGAGGGGTTTCCGATCCCACAAAGATTAAGCATTATTCCCATCAAGATTCGCCATATCTAGGCATCCGGGGGTGACTGTCGCAAGGGTACAAGCACGGCCCCAAGCGGTGGACCGGCGGCCTATTGCCAAGACGCTCGACCAAGTATACATGTGACGGCGCAAGTCACAAATGCCGCCCAACAAGACGTACACGTCCTCTCGAGGCCCCGAGAAGGGCTGAGCATGTCCATCAGCGCCAGAACGGTCGAGATCGGCAATATTTGCTCACGGCAGTACGTTGCCCAAGGCACTCGGTGCAAGTCATCCGAGAAGCTCCGGCCATGCGCTTTTGGCTGGAAGCTGCCATTTGACAAGGAGCCGTGGTGGTGTGTGGCTGACAATTGCCGAAAAATGCGGCTACTCATCCCTCCCAGAAGACAAGGATACATCATGTATCTCGCACAGGTGAACCCGGTGTATAAAGGACTTGGAGGGGGGGGGGACAGGCACAGCCCTGTGCGGATGCACCGTCGACGCCTCGACTAATCAAGTTCAACGGTAGGCCGCATCCGAGATGAGCTGCCGTGCGTAGCCAAGATTCTGTTATGCTTAATTTAGTGTGGAGGGTGGCAAACTAGATCGCCATTAGACGTTGCCGGAATCATTCATGACACAAGATGCCCACGCCGGCGGTCGCAAGCTCAATGCTGGAAAGTTCCAAGACGGCCCTTTTGGGGCAGGAATACAACGTCACAGTGAGTAATGCCCTTGTCTCACGACCACGAGCGGAATGTCGGTACGACCCAAGCACGCGCAAGCTCCAAAGGCTGTGTGAACCCCGGCCCCTTGTGCTGAGACATTGTATGACAACTCAGCCACACGAGCGCCCGTGCCAAGGCCGCAGAGATAAGAGTCCGTCCAGCGTCCATCTTTTTTTCATTGACTTTTTGCCCGCACCCAACAAACACCACTGTCTGTTGGTCGGGGGGGCCTGTGGTAGGACCGCGGGGAGCAAACCCGTCATTGATAGCCTGGGGGCCGCGGGCGTATTGTGCTCCCACGTGTTGCCTGCTTGTAATTTCGGCAGCACTTGAGGCCATACATGCGTCCACGTGATGTAGATGGGATACGCTGTGAAAAAGAAAAAAAAGAAAGAAGCGAAATGACGGTAGGTCATCTGATTCGTGAACAGCAGGAGCGTGGTTGCGTCAACGTCTACGGAGTATTACATACTATGACCACCTGGACTTGTCTCTGTCTGCGACAGGGGAACCGGACGCCCCCCGGAAGTGTACTACTCTACTTTTTAGTTTCCGACTAACACGCCGTGTTTCGAGTTGCGGCCGTGGTTATGGCCGTCATGGCCGTCTTCGTCCATGCCCTCGGCGCCGTCCTCCTCAATCCAATCTGGGAACCCGTCGTCAAACACGTCCTGCAGGGCGTCAACACGCTGCGAGTCATCGAGCCCATCGTCTCTCATGACCCTCTCCCACGCCTCCATCTCCTCGTCGGTGAGCAGACACTCGTCCAGGAGCTTCTCCAGGTTTACATGGTCCAGCTTCTCGCCAATAAAGACTAGTTCCTGTCGGCGATCTCCCCACTCACCGCCCTTGAGGATGTCGTGCTGGACAAGAGAATCGACGTCCCTATCGCCGGTTGTGTACTCTTCCGGCGGTAGCGTGCAGAACCAGGGCCGTCCGCCCGTCAGCGTTAGCATTGCGCCGGCTTGCGACCAGTCTCCCGCCCGATGGGGGCGGGTGGCCAGGAAGAACTCGCCCTTTGACCGGAAAAGACGCCTAAATGTAGGGTGGGCGCGCTTATTGGCCAGGATGGTTGCGTTGGGCGGAATGTCCATGTCGACGTCGATATCCATGGCCGTGTCGTCATCTGTGTGCTTCCATGGCTCCCCTTCAAGAGACGGCACGGTTCGAGCTGTAGATGCGGAGCTCTTGTCAGACTGTTCCGAGTCGCTTCCACGCCTCTCCGATCCTGAACTTGATCCTGAGCTACGCGGATCATCCTGCCCGCCCATGCTGGAGTCTTGTTCGTCATCATCGTCTTGGTCAAGCTCCTCATCTTCGTCATCTTCTTCATCGGCATGCTCCATTTGAAGGATAAACTTGTCGTATATCAAGCTAAACAGCCTTCGGGGGTGAAAAGGTCTGCGCCGGGTGTAGATGAAACTCTGGACGTTGTATTCCTCAGTTTCCGGCTTGGGTGTGGCGACATTGCGCCCATTGACCTGTAAAATTGGACATTAGCTCGCAAACTCGCATTGTAGAGAGGTGGTAGATGGCCGTACCTCGCGCACCGTCATTT